CAAATTCCCACCAACCCACTAGCCTCTGACTGGTCTGCAGAGTTCACAGAGGCCAGCTGGATGGCTCGTTTTGGGCAGTTGGTGTAGCCCAAGAGAGCTCGGCCAAATTCCCCATCTATGGGCACGCCCTTAGGTGATCTCCCGGGTAATCAGCAATGCCCCAGTAAAAACAGAAAGGATTCTACCGGCCTTTCTCCTGCCAGATTAGTTCCACGACAGCTCGGCTGATAGCTCTGGGTGATGGTTGGATCCACGGTGGTGCCCTGAGGTCACAGGGCTGTGGTGGGGGCTGAGGTGCGTGGTTGTGGAGCTGCAAGGGGGGCGGGGGAAGGGGAGGAAAGCAAGGGACTAGGGGGGCCAGGAGTACAGGGCTTGGACACCATCACCAAGAGGTGGGGGCAGGGCTTGGGCGCTGCTGGAGGTTTATGCAGCAGCACACTGTGTGTTGGGGGTCACACAGGTGCAGCCTGCAGGGGGGTCACACAGTGGCGGGTAGCCTTCACTCCTCTGGGGTCTCACGGTCTTTGCTCCTCTGGAGTTTTGTGGTGGGTGGCTGTCTCGGCTTAATTAAGACAAGTTTTCCAATGTTACTATAATAGAAACACTAGCAATGGTTGCCAATTTTCATTTCAATGAACATATACAGAGATTTTGGGATTCCATTCATTCATGGACTAAGGTGGCCTGGACAGCACTCGGCCACAGCCACGGCAGAGCTCATCTTCTGCCCACGGATCCACGCTTGAGTGCTAGCCCTCGAGGCCACAGCTTTGAGAGCCAGAAGGTTCTGCCCTTCTGGGGTCTGTCTGTACTGTCTCTCTGCACGGGGGAGCTCTGCGGCATTGTACAGGCAGTTGGCCTGAGAACCCAGAGTAGCCTTTCCATCACTGGGCATTCAGATGTTCCCGTGGTTGGGAGGGAGGGAGGTGCATCCTCTCTCTGGGCTCCACTTACAGCCTCACAGCCACGGAAGGGCCAGCTATCCACGGCTCCCAACTCGGCGGCCCTCAGAGCCTTTGTGCATTCCAGCACACGCCTTTGTCATTTCAGGCGGTTCTTTCATGTCCTCTGCCCAGAGATGCCATCTCTTCTCCCGTCAGGGCAGCTGCTCGCCCCTCCAGAGCAAGTTCAGAACGGTTCTCACGGCCATCATTGGCTTTGCGTCTGGTTGGCCGGGTGCATTTTCAAGTTCTGATCCTTCACAGCGTTCTCATTGCCCCAATGCCACGGCCTCTCACAGCTGGTCGGAACCGCGGGCATCAGTGCCGGATGCGCCATCACACTCCTCCTTGCAGTGGACTCTCTATCCAGAAAGACGAGAAACCCAAGGTCAACGAGTGCTTCTCACGGATCTGAGTATTTTGTCTTCAGCTGGAGTTGAAAGGGGGAGCTGAGCCAAAGGTGGCGCTTTCCGCGTGGGCTCCCTCATCTTGTCTAGACCGATGAAACGAGCCCTTCTGTGGCCATAGACGCGGGCCGGTCTTACCGCCACACCCCTGCGCAGGCCCGGTTCTTGGGCAGAGTGACCACCCAGTTCTCTACTCAGGGCCTTTTTCGTATCTCTGTCCCCATCGTGCTTCAGGATGCATCCGTAAATGTTCTTTCGTCAACGAATACTATCCACTTCTCGCTCTGCTCGACCATATGACTGTCTCATCCAACATGGTGCACACTGGTTGCTACAGACCCAGTCGTTCGTCATTCTTAATTCTGGCTTTTAGGCGTCTCATTGTGTTTTCTTGGCATGAACCTGAGTTTGTACTGGAGGGGAGAGGGCCTTGCTGGCGTCCACTCTAAGTACATGCACTGTGCCATGGATCGCGTGGATCCGGTGAACCCCAGTTCTGAGCTCGCCTGCTCCTGTGCCGTCCTCACGGCCTCAGACGCGCCCCTGCCTCTTAGCTCAGGCAGTGTGCCAATGCATCTGGGGGGTCTGCCCTGCTCTCTCCCTCTGAACCGCCACCTTTCTAAGTAGGATGTCTATTTCCGCGAAATGGCCCAATCCAGACAAGTTGTCCTAAGTGCGATCCCACTCTTTTAACCTCTAGGCCTCGACAGAGCTCCTGTGTGTGCATCCTAAAGACAGGCCCTGTGCTTTGGGCACTTGGATGGTGAGGAGCCCATTGAAACCTCCTCACCAGCGCCAGGATGGAAGGCAACCCATCAGTTCCCCTTCTGTCAGGTTTATTAATCATCCCACCTTCAGATGCATACAGAGCAACAGAGAAACACAGGGCTTGGGTCCGATTCAGCATGGTCTGGAAAGTGACAGCTTTCCTCTTGGAGACGCACAGAGGCCCTCAAGCCACGCAGCTCACCCAGTGCAGGGGAACATTGATTACCTGAGCCATGTGAGACCACGGGTTTGGGGGAGATGAATCCCAGTCAAAGGAAATCCTGGACAAAGTCAATGCTGCCTATCCTTGCTCCATCCCTCCTGCTTTTCCCTTGGGCTTCAGAAAGGAGACTGAGAGTGTCAGCTCGAGGTGGAGATGAATCCACATGGAAGGCTGGAGCGGTTCCTCTGCAGGAAGGGCTTCCAGGCTCCTTCAAGTCCCCCAATCCCTCTGCTCGACACGGGTCACTGAGGGGTCTTCCTCACACACTGAGGACACCTGCTTCCTCGGACACTCCCGTTTCCCAAGTCATTGATTCAGCATAGAAGTGGAATCATCAAACATGACGCATTTCTTATTTGTCTTTTCGGGCTGCCCTTAGAAATTCTGCGTTTAGCTCTCACGGGACCTGTATTTATTCGTGCTCATGGCGTCAAGTCTGTCCCTTAGTGAGCCCTAGATTCACAGAGACCGTACTAAAGCTCCGACTCCAAGAATCACGGGGACGGAGCCGTTCCATTCGGGGAAGTCCATTTCAGCCCCGTGCAACTTACCCAACGGACGACCTGGATGGGATTTGAGATGCCGCCAGAGTGAACATGAGCTTCTCTCAGAAATGGGCTGTGTGGCAACACAAACCATAAGGAGAGAGAAAAGCGGTGGTGGCCGATTCGGAGCCTATTGCCGTGACCCTAGTGGGATTCTGAGATACCATCCCTTACACACGAGCGTGTAAGAAAAGATGTGCACGCGGAAAACAGCTACGAGATACCACGTCACCCCAGGAAGAACAGCAAACTTTAAAGAGCAGCGAACAGCACATGCTGACGAGGCTGTGGAGAAACTGGAACCGTTGGTCCCTGTTGGTGGGAGTGTGACGCGGTGCAACAACTGTGCAACGCAGGATGGCACTTTCTCAAACCGTTAGAAATACCACTTGACCTAGCAATTCCTCTGCTGGGATCACACCCTAAAGAAAACCTAAGTGCCACCCAAGCAGATCTGCACACACGCATGTGTG